GGGGGGGGGCTTCCTACAAACCACAGCAAACACCCACAAACTGCATGACTGGAGGCATAGAAACCTCAAAGGGAAGAGGGCGATCACTCTTTTTCAGCCCCTTTCCTTATCTCCAACTGATGATGAAGAAAAAAAATAGAAAACCCTAGACTGGATGTGTGAAGATCAGAATTCTGGGCAGATTCGATTTTCTCAACCTAGCTTTGATACCATATTATAATCCAATCTGCTCTTGAATTATGTTAGAATAATGACTGTAGAAGTAAGAGAAAGATGAGAAGAAGGAGAAGAGAAGAAAATAGAGGAGGGAAATCTGGTTCGAACAAGAGAGAAAATCTCTCTCTCTAGTCGGCCAGGTCAATTTATATGTTTCTATTAAATAATAAAAAGACTCCTATGCCCCTACTTAAGTGAGGGACACAACTACTAATAGAACATTACACATCAGCAACTTAAACATAAATATAAAGACTAAAATACCCCTACACAGTCGACATTAACAAATTCAATAATTTGTCTACTTGTTGGATAATGACTGTTACAAATAAGGTAGCATCACAGTACTTTGATATTTGTAGGAATATTTGATTAGGCTTCCTTCATTTCTCACCTTGATTTCTTCTCTGCTTTGTTTTATCAGATTGAGATAAAGGAGTTAGATGACTTTGCTCAGGCTGCTTTCCGTGGCTACAAATCCCTCAATCGCATTCAGAGCCGGATATTTCAAACCACTTACCACACCAATGAAAATATACTAGTCAGTCATTACTTTCTTGTCATGTGTCAAATTAAAGCAGTCTGTCAACTATATTATTTCATATCACTCAAGCAATTTAATCAATTCAATTGCAGGTCTGCGCTCCAACAGGTGCAGGCAAAACAAACATAGCTATGATTGCTGTATTACATGAGGTATCCATTAGCTGAGCTCAGATCCTCTGCATTACTTCTATAATCAAACACTAATTCTTTGACTTGGAAATCTGGAAAGGAAATGTAGTTGAAAGTACCATTGTAAGAAATAAAACCACAAATGGCATTGTGTTTTCATAACGCTGGTCTTGCAGAAAATATTTCTGTTGCTAAAACTGTACTTCCCATTTGGACGTCATATGTTGAACTATCCTGAGTCTTTTGAACAAAAAGTAGTTTTACATCGTGCTAATTAATACATACAGTTATTTTTCTGTGTTGTGACTATTGTCAATTTTGAGCTTAGTTTATGCTCTTAGTCCACCATCTAGACCTTTGATCTAACCTTAGAAGACCTCTTATATGTTAATATACTGCATCATGTACTTGATGAATTCTTATTTTGAGTGTTAATATTTGCATATTCTCTTCTTTTTTGGTAACCATCCATGTATATGTTCTTCTCTTCCCTTTGTATGATATATTGGTTATTGATAAAACATTATGATGCAGATTGCACAACACTTCAAGGATGGTTTTTTGCACAAGGATGAGTTTAAAATAGTTTATGTTGCTCCTATGAAGGTATAATTACTTTATATTTTTTCCATTCAACTCTTTTTCTTTTCCTTTTTTCTTGCAGACTGTTAATTTCTGGTTGCATGCTTTCTAGGCATTAGCTTCAGAGGTGACGTCAACATTTAGCCATAGATTGTCTCCCTTGAACTTGACTGTGAAAGAACTTACTGGGGACATGCAACTTTCTAAGAATGAGCTTGAAGAAACTCAGGTTTATTTCTTTTCTTATTTTGGTTTTATTTTTGTAATCTAATATCTACATGCTAAAACTCATGGCATGTTATTTTAATTTGTGCCATTCAGATGATAGTGACAACACCAGAGAAATGGGACGTCATTACTCGCAAAAGCAGCGATATGTCTCTGTCAATGCTAGTAAAACTCTTAATCATTGATGAGGTACACCTGTTAAATGATGACAGAGGCCCTGTAATAGAGGCATTGGTTGCTCGGACCCTCCGTCAGGTACCTTTCTTTGGTCTTATTTTTGTTGTTATTATTGTTGAATCTATTTTTGATAAAAGGTAACTAATATGTATTAAAAGGGAAAAACGTATGTACATGAGAGGATGTGGAGGGTTGTACAAAAATAATAAGTTAGAAAACCTCTCTCCAGAAAGGAAACAGATTATGTGGGCATAGTGCTGCTGCTATTATAGAAAATCCCTGTCTACTCCCATTCTAGCTAGTCCATTTGCAATGAAACTTGGTTCTTTTGCTGTTTGAATTCGGATGGATGCCAAATTTTTTGATCATTAATAGAAAACATTATTGAGATAGAAAGAGAAAAATACAGTGCGGCCCTGCTCTCCAAGAAACTTAGTGAGGTAGGGAAGAAACAAACATAATAGCCAATGAGTGACAGCATCAGAAAGCCTAAGTATAAAACAAAATTAAAATGTTTCCTTGGACTTATCATGCTCCATTCTAGTTCTTTCTTGTTGACCCTTTATCCTGGATAGACTGTCTGCTAGGCTGTTAGCAGACCTGAAAATCCACCTGAATGAGCAGTCCACGTCTGGAAGATAAACCCTTTCCTTCTTTGATTTGGTATCTTAAACACCAAGATCCTTCATCTAATTTCACTTGTATTGGATTCCCTTCTATTTCTTACTCCATCTAATTTCACATGCCAGATTGATTAAAATAGACAAATAGGAGTTTCTAACCAATTTTCAACCTCATTTGCAGTCATCTAGCATTAAAGTTAAACTCTACATGCATGATTTGCATATGAAAATCTACTTGGGTTCGATGCCAATATTGCCATCCTTGGTTTATGTAACCTTTCAGTTCTTTCTGATTCTGGATATTTTTTTTTTATTGTATAGGTGGAATCAACACAAACTATGATACGCATTGTGGGCCTATCAGCTACTCTACCCAATTATTTGGAGGTTTGTTTACAATTTGATGCTCAATATTCCTTTTGGTATTAGCATGTAGTCTTTATTTTTCTTTTTTTTTGTTTCTTTTTTGATTGGTAACAGTGAAAACAATTTTCTTTCTCGTATTTACTCTGAACTATTCAAAATCTAATAAGCCTCTGTTTGAAAACTCAGGTTGCACACTTTCTGAGGGTGAATCCTGAAACAGGACTCTTCTTTTTTGATTCCAGCTATCGCCCAGTACCTCTTGCACAACAATATATTGGTATCAGTGAGCATAACTTTGCTGCTCGTAACAATCTGTTAAATGAGTTATGCTATGATAAGGTTTCTTTTCCCATTTGAATGCTCCTTATTTGTGGTTATTTTAGGCAATAGGCATTGTCATTTTCTTAATGGTGTACATGGTACTTCATATATAATTTAGGTTATTGAATCATTAAAGCAAGGACATCAAGCAATGGTTTTTGTTCATTCACGAAAGGACACAGGAAAAACAGCAAGGATGCTGGTATGACTTAAAATTTATGATATAGAAGTTTTTTTGAGTTATTGTATGATTTTATGATAGCTGTTCCTTTTATTGCTACTTATGCTGCTGCTACTTATTCCAATTTCATCATTCTTGGTATTGGTATTGAGTGACTTCTTTGATTGATAATACAAAAATCTACCGAGGACAAAAGCATATACAGCTAATACAATAATAAGGAAAAAGGAGAAATAGAGGGAAAAGTACCTACAACCCTTTGCTTCCAGACTAAACAGTAATTTATATGGATTCTAAGAATAGTTAATTCATTGGATCATATCTTGCTGGGGTGATTTGAGAGGATTGAACTGTATTGGGATACTCTGCTCTGGTAGGTCATGTAATACTTTGGTTCCTTGCTATTTGTATTTGTTTTGGCTTCGTTCTTTATGGGTCTTTTTTGGTTACTCCTTTCCTTGTAGGGGAAGTTTTAGGATTGTACTATCTCTTTTTTTATCGGTAACAAATCAAGGATTTTAATTATATATGGTTGAAAAATTTAGATTCAGAAAAATACCAAAGTACCCCTTTGTTTTGGGCTAGCCCCAGCTATCTACCCACTAGTATGGCAGTACCAACATTTTTGCTTGCATGTTACAATCTCCCTCCTACTAATGGATTTATCAAGCTGAATTTTGATGGTTGTAGCGAGGGCAATCCTGGACCTTCAGGTATTGGAGGTGTTTTCAAAGATGAGGATGGGTTCATTAGGGCTCTTTTGACATGTTGAGAGCTGAAATCTATGCTGTAAGTCTGTAATGGAAGGAGTTCAGAAGGCCAAGGAATTAAATATTTCCAAGATAATAATTGAAGGGGATTCAAAACTTGTTATTGGATGGTTTCAAGAGGAGGAGATGGGCTGGTGGGATTACATAAATGAATAAAGGAAATTCAGGTTCCTGACTCAAGGTATGGAAATCCAGCTGCATTGGACTAAGAGAGGTGCTAATTGTTTGGCTGATGTTTTGGCCAAGCAAGGGGTGGGAAGAAGCAACTTTTTTTGGGCTATATTGTAACTTTTTTGACCTCTTGGGGGGGATCTAAAAGAGTTTATCTCCCCTTTCTTTGTAATTTCTTTGAGTTTTGTTTAATGAGTCTCATTCAGTTATTGATAAAAAAAGAAGGATGAGGGGAGATTTGTGAAGGAGAAGATGGTAGAACTCTAGAGAAGAGGTGCCATCTTAAGTTCGATGACAGTGTAGGTTTGAGGTGCAGATTAGAGGGTGGTAAGGGCTTTCTCTAGGTCCGGAGTGATAGTTGAAAAGTTAGGGGTTGATCTGAAAAGGAGAAGGAAGTTGGTAACCAGGGAAGGAGTTGTCGATGATTTGGAGGTCTCGAAGAAAGCCTGAGGTACAAGCTAGACCCATCTTGTCCATGTCACCAAAATTTTCTCAAGATTAAAAGACGGTCTGGCTGGAGCAGGTCCTACAAACAAATATAAAAGAATTAATAAGAGAAAGAGAACAAGATTTAAAGCGATGACTATTGAGGGTAAGGTGGGTAGTGGTCATGAGATTCAAGCTTCAGATGGCTTAGAGATTCAGGCGTTGGAAAAGACTTTTGTGGAAAAGAGTTTGGTTGATAGGAATGTTTTTTTTTTTTGATCAATTGGTTGATAGGAATGTTAGGAGGAGGGAGGGAACATTGTGGAAAAGAGCTTTGTTGAGTTTCCTCTAGTTGGTAAGGGGGAAGAGGAGGGAGGAAAAGTGGACATTGCGAAGTTGGCTGATAGGAATGTTAGGGTTGACAAAAGTTTAGGTCTGTTTTTTTGGGGTGGAGAGGATTTTGCTAGGAAAGCGTTTGAAGTGTTTGAGAGGAATAACAAAGAAGAAAGGATGAAGAAGCATCATGTAGGGGAAGGATGGTGTGGAACGAGGAAGGAGCCCGGTGGGATGAAGTATCTGAAGGGGAAGATTGATGTGTTTCTAATTCAGGAAGGTTCTTGTGTTTTTGCTTTTGTTTCTTCGGTTGTTGTAGCATGGTTGTTTTTCTTGTTGGTTGTGTGGGAGTTGGCTTATGTTGGGGCGGTTTCTCATCACCTTCCTATTGTACTTTCTTTTTTGTTTTTAATGAATTTTATTTTATTATAAAAAATCCATATACTTGTACATACCTAGTGTACTAATGTTGGATTACTACTTCTCGCATATGTTATTGGATATTTTTCTGAAGATAAAATAAAAATTTTATTAAAAGAAAAAGAAATACATCAATCCAAGATGGTGATAAGGAATCACCATCCAATAACAAAAAGGCCACTTATACTTCAAAAACAAAACCAGATCTGCACGCCAGCCCAACTAGGAATGGAAATGGGGCGGGGATCATATTTCTCGTCCCCGCCCTTGATTCTGAAATTAACCCCCATCCCTGCCCCCGATCCCCGTCGGGGATAAAATTTATCCTCTATCCCCGATCCCTGACAGGGATGGCTTCCCCGGGGGGACTCGAATCCCTAAATTTTTTAGATAAATAGTATTTTTTTTGAAAAATAATTTTACTTAAAATAAATAAAAATTAAATTATAAATAATGTTTTAAATATTTTTTTGATATATATAAATAATATATATTTAATATAAATAACATTTAATATATATATAATCGGGGCCGTGGTGGGGTAGGGACCTCAATCCCCATCCCCGACCCTGACTCCGACCTCGATTGGAGATTTCTATTAATCTCGTCCCGTCCCTGCCCCACCAAAACAATCCCCATCCCCAACTCCATTGGGTTGGGGAAGTCGGGTCCTTGTCGGGGATGGGGAAAATTGCCATCCCTAAGCTCAACCTAGACAAAACCACGACAACAGAAAACTTATTCAAAATAAAACCCTCGACCCAGAACCTCTATGCAAATTTCATTACACAAACCAGACTTTTAATTTCCTAGAACAGGATAAAGGTTGGCATGAAGCGAAACATTGAAGGCAACAAAAAACGGACCCCCCTCCTCACACACACACATCAAACTCAAGTCTTCTACAACTGCTTAAAAGCTTCCCCTCTTACCAACTGCTGCTTTGCAACTCCCCCATCATTCTTCATCCACTATTGCTTCCTCTCTCCTCCTTCACCTTCCTCTTAAGCCCTTCTGTTTCTTTCAAATTGTTCAATTGCTTTTCTAACCACTGCTTTCCCCCATCTCCGCCCGCCTGTGAAATACTTTAGTCACATGAACCAAGTGCTTGTTTCCCGACCCTTTGGATTTTCTAAGCTCCCCTGTTTTAAATGTGCCATTGACAGGATTCTCCAAAACTCCTCCAACCCTTCTCCTACCTAGATCCACCCCCAGTTTGCCTACTAAAACTGATTTTCTCATGACTTCATGCACAACTGATCCAACTCCACTGCATTTATTTCCCAGACACCAGGTCCAACTCCCTACTAAGTCTTTCTTGGACTTACCTTGCTCTTTGACGCATTGTCTAGAGCACTTGCTCCATCCCCTTTAATCTCGGCTAGATCTGTGGTCTTAATTGTCATTGAGTCCCGATGGTTCTCTACCGCAACCCTATCTTGCACGATACCATTAGATGAATCCAACAAAAGCACTTGAGATTCATTTGGACACGTAGCTTATCCTGATTCAGCCTTCAAGCTTCTCAGACATTTTGGTGAGTTTGTCTCTCCAGAACAAATAAACCTTGTGGCCACCCACTCCCATACGGCCATACCTCTTTCTTCCTCTTTCCTACACTCTAGGGGAGTTCTGAGACTTGATTTTTAAAACCCGCTGATTTTTTCGCCTTCAACTGATTAAACTCACTAGCCTTCCCCCGCCTCCTTCTATACAAACCACCTTCAACTGATTAAACTCACTACAGCCATCATTTCCTTAACATAAGTGGACTGATTTTGGTGAGTTAATGAGAGAGCCTTACTGAAATAAGCAATGGGCTGCCCCCTTTGCATCAGGATGGCCCCTACCCCTACACCCAAAGCATCACATTCTATTTCAAAGGGCTGAGAGAAGTCTGGGAGAGTGAGGACTGGAGGGCTAGAAACAACTGTTTTCAATTCTTCAAAAGCCCGTTGGGTTTCCTCGGACCACCTAAATGAATCTTTCTTCAATAGACATGTTAGTGGAGCCAGCCATAAGCCCATACCCCTTAACGAAGCGCCTGTAATATCCTGTAAGCCCAAGAAAGCCCCGCAATGCCTTCATAGTAGTAGGCTTGGGTCACTTTTGAATGGCCTCCACCTTCTCTGGATCTGCCATGACCTGACCCGCTGCAACCACATGTCCGAGGTACTGAATTTGTCCTTGCCCAAAAGAGCACTTTGTCATTTTAGCATGTAACTAATTTCTCCTCAAGGTAGTGAGGGTGAGTTTCAGGTGTTCCATATGGGTGTCGCAATCCCTGCTATACACAAGAATATCGTTGAAAAACAACAAAATAAATTGCCTTAAAAATGGTCTGAAGATGTCGTTCATGATGGCCTGAAAGGTTGAGGGGGCATTTGTGAGCCCAAAAGGCATAACCAAGAACTCATAATGGCCATCATGGGTCCTAAAGGCCGTTTTGTGTATGTCAGCCTGGTGGACCCGAATTTGATGATACCTGGAGTGCAGGTCTAACTTGGAGAATACCCGTGCTTCTCCTAACTCATCAAGCAGTTCATCAATGAGGGGTATAGGAAACTTGTCCTTCACGGTAATCTGATTTAAGGCCCAGTAGTCTACACAAAAGTGCCAACTACCATCCTTCTTCTTCACTAAGAGCACAAGAGATGAAAAAGGGCTGGTGCTGGTTTGGATATGTCCTTTTTCCAATAACTCTCTTACTGCCTTCTCAATTTCCAACTTCTGAAAGTAAGGGTATCTATATGGTCTCACATTTTCTGGATTAGAGCCAATTAAGAGGGGTATATGATGATCATGGGTCCGGGATGGGGGTAATTGGGTCTGTTTCTCAAATACATCAATAAACTGATCGAGTATCGATCATAGGGCTTCTTGTTGGACTTCATTGTGGCGGATAGAGCCTTGGTTGTCCAAAACTGGGACTGTGGGCCGAAGGCCCAGGTGCATAAATATGGGTTGGCTAGTAGCTCTGGAGGTCCGTATCATGGAAGTTAAAGTCTCACTTTGAGGGGCTGGAGGCTGCACCCCCTGTAGATGACAAGACTGGCCATTCTGATAGAAATCCATTGTCATTTGGGCCCAATCACATAGTGTAGGGCCCAAACCACGCAACCAATGAACCCCTAGAGTGATATCGGCTCCCGAAAAGTCCAACGGGTGGAGATCCACCACAAAAGTGTGGCCTTGTATGAGAAGTTTCTCTTTCTTGCATACACCGTTACATGACATCTAATTCCCATTAGCCACATGAATTGAAAAGAGAGGAGTGGGTTGTATGGTCATACCTAGCTGCCTAGCCAAACGACAAGTTATGAAATTCAGAGTGGAGCCACTGTCAATTATAATCATCACGGTCTGACCCATCAACTTCCCTTCTACTCGCATGGAATGGAGAGAGTTGAGGCCCATGAAGGCATGTAAGGAAATCTCGGCCCCATCAGGTTTTGGACCATCTGGAATCAGTTCACATTCAACCGAGCTCTCTGGGCTTAGGTCGTCCGTTTCTTCCTTCGTTTGTAAGAGAAATACCTGCTGGACCCTGCATTTATGGCCCGGTTCAAATTTGTCATCACAGTTATAATAGAGGCCCTTCTCGCGCCTGGCTTTCATTTCAGCCCAAGAGAGGTGCTTGAAAGGCATAGTGGGTCGGGGCAGTATGGGCTTAGGAGGATCCCCAACTGGTTTCATGGGCAGTTGGTCGACCCATAGTGGAGTCTTCAAGATCGGGTAGGGCTGTTTGTTGGCTCGGCGAAGGTTATCAATCCTCTCTTCTTGCAAGCGAGCCAATCCCACAACAGCCATGGCAGTCGTGGATGAAGTGATCTCACTTCCAGGCGGATATCATCTCTAAGCCCTCCCACAAAACATCCCACTAAAGCCTTCTCCGGCCAGCTGTGCACCCTAGTCGCCATCCGTTCAAACTCGAGTTGGTATTTTGATACCATTCTGGTCTGCTTCAGCCTAGTGATTAACTCGTCATAGCCGACGAATGCTGTCGGTCCAAAGCGTATGCACAGTGCTTCGGTGAACTCCGACCATGTGACCTGTGGATGATTCCGATGATACCATTGGAGCCATAGAATCGCATCTCCTTCTAGATGAATGAGGGTGATGGAGACATGTTGGTGGGCAGGAGTTTCATGGTACTCAAAGTATCTTTCTACTTTGAAGATCCAAGGAATAGGATCTCCACCGGAATAGTTGGGAAAATTGATCTTGGTGACTTTCCCGATGGGGTAACCCCCCATCCTTTGGCTACTAGAAGTAGAGGCTTCCACTCCTCCTGCCTGGTGACTAGTCTCACCGGTCTATTGCTGAGAGGCGATGCTGGAGACCAGCACTCTGAGTTCTTTGAGCTCGTTAACCACCTGGTGAAGTCGTGGCATTTTGAAACCTGGGACCTGTGAGTTATGGGCTTTGATACCAAATGATGTGATGCCGCTCACCTCGGAAGCCCCTTCGAGGGTAGCTTAACCTCTTGAAACAGAAAGGATGGAAGAACGGGGATGGGAGGAAGAAGATAACACAGGGAGAGAGATAATAAGGAGATATTCATTCATTCCACTTATTACATCGGGGCCTTATATAGCTGGCTTACCGACGCAATCATAAAGAAAATATATTCTTGTGGCAGTGTAGCAACTCTGGGAAAGGCTTTGCTAGCGTGGTGTGCTAGCCTTTGTCTTCTAGTGAAATGCTGATCGATGGGGGTCTGCTCCGCACCTGCTGTTGGGTTCGAAGGGGGTGTTTGGGCTCCAACACTACTTCTCTCAATTTAAAATATGATTACAAATTCAAATTACAACCATGCCAATACAAATGATCCTTGTTTACTCCTTGCTTCGCTAAAGCATCTTCCATCACATTTAGCCAATCTCCTAACCCAATGTATCCTCAAATTCATATTTCTAGTTAGCCAATCTTCTAACCTGATCTCCTAGCACATTGTTTGTCAGCCTGTGATTTTTTTGATAACCAATGTGCCAAGCAATGACCCCTTGTTACTGATTAAAGATATGGTCATTTACTTGGACATCCCCTATAGTTAGGGCTGTCAATTGGTCAGGCCTGACCCGATGCACCCAAACTGATTGGGCCGGTTCTGGTTCCAGATCTATTGTCCTGATTATTATCGGCTTGGTACCGGTTCTGCCCAGTCCTGAATCGACTCAGACCTGACCTGACCCATATATATATATTAAATGTATAATATTTTCAGCAGGTTTATTATAATCGGGTCTATCAGGTCAGACCCAATTGTCCCGAGAACTGATCAGTTCAGTTCTGGGTCTAACATTACGGACCCTATAGGGTCTGGTTCGGTTCCGGTTCTATCCAGATCTGACCCGTTGACAGCCCTACCTATAGTTTCACATATTCGTTAAAATCTACTCTATAGTTTGTGTATTACTAAAAGTTTAAAACATCCCCTTGTAGGACCCAAAGCTGAAAAATTCATTTGAAAACAAAATACAAGGGGCACCCGATCTTAGAAAGCTTCATTGGGTGATTTTGCAAACAAATGAAGAGGATTAGAGGGTCACTCCCAAGACCTGCCACTTTGTGCACTTAAAATTTGGATTCTTCTGCTGACTCTTACTGTATAGGTGCATTTTGTAATTGTACATACCTTTTTGGATCTCTGCCACTCAGTAATGAATAGAAACGCTTTACCCTTTTACAAAGAAAGGCACCCTACTTCTGTGCTTTGGTGACTGATACCCTGCCTCCTTTGTTTCCCTCTGAACAATCCCTTTCTGAAGTGATATCATGAACAAGTCAGTAATAGTGAGATCTTTTTTTTTTTTCTTAATGAAAAATTTCTTTTATTATAAAATAAATGTTGTTCAGTTGTATCTCCCTCCTGATGGGACTACTGCTGAAGTCATTTTTGCTTGAGATCAAAGAAAAAAAGTCATGTCTATCAATCATTGAAGGTGTTTCCAAAGATGGCTATGATAACTTCTTCTTGTTTCTCCAATTTGAGGATTTGCTGGACAAACTTGTTACCTCTCATTCAGAGGTTCAGGCTTTCATCTCTCTTGGCTATGAAAGTCTTGTCATAGGAGAATCCCAGATTGTCATCTATTGGATTAGATAGCATGCAGAGGGTTTTTATGCCAGGCTACCATTATAGGGAGGTGTAGTCATTTTGTTGAACCCTTCATTCAAGTGGTTTCCAAGGTTAGTCACTCAGCCTTAGTTAGACTGGGACTGATGAGATTGTTTTGGGGCTGTAACATGCTGTCAATATACTTTTTGTATTTGTTGTATTTGATGTACAGGGAACCCCTTAGGCTTTAGGTTGTCTTGGTACAATTTTTGTCAATTCATGGGATTGCACTTATTACAAATTCTTGATGTTTAGCACATTCCTTTGATATTGATAAAAGAAGTCATTGGATACTGTTCACAGTCTCTTCAATTGTTGGGAACAGAATATCATCCAATTTAAATTAGTTCATATGGATATTCATATTGCAAGATGTTACCCTTTAAAGAGGCAATATCGTTTATCCTCAGATAGAAATTATATTTGAACTTTACAATGCGTACATGAGACAACCATATTTATGATGCCAAATGTTAAAGCAGATTGAAACTGCACAGAGGAAGGAGGGCTTGGAGTTATTGAAGAATGATACACATCCACAGTTTGACTTGATAAAGGTTAGGTGCTCAATTGATTTATTTTATTGTTAACACTTTAATGCAAGATCCTTTATTTGGATCAATTTTATGAGCTGCAGAAAGAAGTACAGAAGTCAAGAAACAGAGAAGTCATCGAATATTTTGAATCTGGGATTGGCATCCACCATGCTGGTATGTTACGTGCTGATAGAGGCCTGACTGAGCGCCTTTTTTCTGATGGCCTCCTGAAGGTATACCTTCTTACTTATGTGTGTGTGTATCGGGTGGGCTGCTGCCTATTTACATGGTGACTTAAGCATTATTTCTGTACTGAAATTGATGTTCAAAAATCCTAAGTGGACGTTGAACCATTTTGGAGGGTGGTTCAATCAACAAAAATACTATCTGTGCTAATGGCTGGTGCGAAACATGTAATATTACTAAATCAGTGCTGCACCTTATCACTCAACCTCAATATCTCTTCTTGCAAACCCTTCATGTACTGATGTAAGTATCCTTAGGATAAATTACTTATACCTGCTCTGGTGCTTCAATCAAAGCTAATATCTCCTGTTAGGTTTATCTACTAATTTATACCCTCTTTGACCAGGGAACTATAGGGGATTTTTTAATGGAAGAAATGGAAATCATGGAATTAAGACAAATAGATATTTTACCAAAATGCCCTATATAATAAATGTTAGTCTTGTCTACAAAATACATATTTTGAAATCCTCATTTGTAAACATTAAATACAGTTTTATCATCTCAAAATTTTATATTTTTATTTTTCTTGAGCTTGTCTTTGATTTTCTATTTCCACCTTACTTTATGGCAGAAGAAATTTGTTCTTTCAAGAAATATTACTGTGGGTTATCTTTTCCCATATAATATACAAGGTGTCATGAAAAGTTTTAAATGTCAAGTTACACTTTCCATCCTAAAACTGTGGGCATGCTAGTATGGATGGAATAAGTAACTTAATCCCAAACTACGTGTGGTTAGTAATTTAACAGGTAAATCTGAGGGGAGGTCTTAGTGTTTGACCAAAATGTCAGAGGAGAGGAGGTGCAAGTAATTTACCCATATCTTTTTGCATCACTTCCCTATATATAATTCTCCTGCTACCATATTTGTCAAGGCATCTATGCAATTTTAGGTGACAGCGGGGTACCGAGGAAATACGTAGTGAATATGAATTTTGTAAAATAAAAATGTAAAATTTGGTTAGTTTCTTAGTTTATCAATTAGCATGCATATTAATTGAAAGAATAGCTTTCACTTTATTAATTGCATTGAATGTCCTCTCAAAACATGGTAAATCAGCATATCTTAAAGACAATAATATTTTAAATATATTAACTTCAATATTTTCAAAAATAAAACCAACATAATAAATATTTAATAAAGTAGTTTCATATCAAATTAGCAATTAAAAGAAGGCTATGGACATGGGAGTCAGATTCAGGTGGATTAGAGGAACAGCTAATGTTTTGGCTGATATACTTGCCAAACAAGGGATAAACAGGGCTGTGCTTTTTTGGGCTACTTTATAATAATTGACATATTGTAGGGCAGGAATGTAAGGGAAGTAAGGCACACTACACTATAACAGACAGTACAGTTGTTGCTGATGAGGTACTCCACACTATGAGGAATAAGAGAGGTAAGAAGGGTGTCTTCCTTCTTGAAGTGGACCTTGCTAAGGTCTATGATAAAGTTGAATTGGAATTCTTTACTTTATTTTATGCAAATTGTTCGGATTCTTGGGTTCTTTTTGCCATTTGCTTCTGAATTGCATATCTTCTCCTTCCTTTGCCATTTCGATTAATGGACAACTAAGTACTCCCTTCATCCCTAGTAGGGGAGCTGAGGCAAGGATGCCTTGTCCCCTTGTGTGTGGAGGTATTGTCCTTGGTCCTTACAATTCACAAGGCAACTGGATTCTGGAAATCTAAGGGATTAACTTTGGTGGTGGCCTTCGAAACAACCACTTGATCTTTGCTGACCACCTGTTGGTTATGGTGCAGAGCTCACTAACTGAAAACAAACCCTTGATTTCTTCTGTTCCTGGTCTGGGCAAGATATTAGTTTCAGTAAGTCTTCGCTGATGTTCAGCAACACTTATTGCAGATTCAGAAGTTTCATCTTGGCTGTTTTTGGTCCCAAATGAAAGATGGTGAAGTATACTTGGGTGGACTTCTTCTTTTTTATAAATCTAAGATTGTAATGTGGATTGTGGAATCATTTAGTGGAAAAGCTGAAAGGCCGTCTTTAGGGCTGGAAAACAAGGGTCCTTACCCATGCCATATGAACTAGTCTAATCATTTTTTTTTTGAGAAAGGGTAAAGCAACTTTATTAGAAACTGAACAAGAGATTACAACAGCAGCCCCAGAAAAGGAGCCAAACACACAAGCTCAAAGCTCTAGAACACATTACAAATCTAACAGACTTCTAGTCCTCAGATGAGCTCCAAGAACTGAGGTCTGGAGACCTTTAGGAGCCACAATCCAAGAGACCAGCTTACCAAAAATGAAGGAGATTAGACAGTCTGATTCTTTAGCACTCTTCTAGAATATTTTTCTATTCCTTTCTGTCCAGATAGTACTAATCACTGCTGCAGGAATAGCCAACCAAATACTTTAGCCAGCTTGGACAAACCATGGAGCTCCCAATTCCATAGAAGATCCAAAACAGATTTTGGCATGACCCAAGATAAGCCGTAGGCAGATAAGAAATGCCCCCAAATAGCAGAGATAACAGTGCAATGGATGAATAGGTGATTACTATCCTCTTCATCTTGGCCACACAACTCACACAGCAGGTCTTGAATCTGTAATCCTCTTCTTGTCAGGTTCTTTTTGGGTAGGCACCTACCCAGGGCTGCTGCCCAGACCAAGGCATTTACTTTGGAAGGGGATATTAGATTCCAAATTTTAGCAGCAGGAACTCCAAATGATTTCCTTCTGCTAAAATCCTAGCAAAGGACTTGAAGCTGTGCCAAGCTTTATTATTCAAACTTTCCTTTTACCGCAAGGCATTTCTGGTGGGGTGACTTTGAATCTCATAAAAAAATTCATTTGAGAGCATGGAGCTTCTTTTTCAATCTCACAATGAAGAAGGGCTGGGGCTGAGATGCTTGAAACAGAAAAAATAGATCTTTCATTATCAAACTTGGATGGTGGTTTCTCTTGAAGCCTACTGGCGTATGGAGAAACTTGCGAGAGTTAACTCTTAGATGAGTGAGTCTTTTTTTTGAAGATAAATAAAAAAATGAAACCTTATTAATGAAAAAAGAGAGGATACAACAGGGTGATAAGAAATCACCCAGCAAGAACAAACCTGCCCAAAACAAAATTAACCCCTTAGATAGTGAGTCTTATGTTTGAAAAAAATATATTAAAGTGTTATGAGGATCTCAAAAAAGGTTGTTTTTTTGCCATTGGCAGTGGTTGGAATGTAGGCATAACTGCAGGTCCATGGATACCAGATGGTAATTATCCCAAGAATTTTAACTATGAGACTATTCAAATTTTGAAGGTGGCTGAATTAATGTTGTCAAACTCAAGAATCTGGAATAGACATCTGGTGACCTTATTGTTTGATGCTAAAACAAGTTCGAAGATCCTGCAGATTAAATTGCTGGCTCACGATATATCTGTATCCGACAAGCTTGTGTGGAAGTTTAACCCCCATGGTAAATTCTCATCTAGTTCTGCTTATAAAATGCTAAGGGATGTCCTAGTTCCTCAAAGCAGTCATGGTACTCTCTCCAACTTGACTTGGAAGGTTTTCTGGAAGATCAAAGAATTAATTCCAAATCTTCTCATGTTCTTATTGGAGAACCATAAATGATATTATATGGGTAGAAGTATTCTTGTGACAGGGTCTATAACCCTCTTTGCCCCTTGTGTTTGGAGTTTAGTGAGACCAGAGACCACTTATTCTTGCAATGCACCACTGTTCATTCTGTGTGGTTCGGTTCAAGTCTGGCTCTCCTTGTTGAAACCCATCCATTCTAGTACTTTGAATGCATATCTGGAGGAATGGATCGAATTGGATAAGCAGCTCCATGCAGATCACTTGCAGATTCTTGTGGGCGGGTGTTGCATTATGTGGTACATCTGGAAAAGAAGAAACAGAGTTGTTATTGTCTTTGACAACAGTGATTTTAAGCCTCAGTCTGTTCTTGCTACAGCTAATGCTTTGATGGCAGATCTTTCTGGAGCCTCTAGGATTTCTACACCGTATCCTTTGCTGCCTCACTTGCCAAGGAGTGAGAATTTAGAGATTGGAATTATTCCGGTTGGGAGAAACCACTGTCAGGCATGTTAAAGGTCAACTTTGATGCAGCTGTAAAGAAGTCAAAGGGCAGTTCTGGCATAATCGTTAGAGAAAATGGAGGATGTTTTGTATATGCCACAGTTGTCCCATTACTTCATGGGACTCCTGCTGAATTGGAGGCTAATGCTGCTTATGTTGGTGTAAATTCTATTATAGACCTGTTGGTGTCCTCATTTGAGGTGCCCTGGCAAATAAGAAATACCATTGCTGATTGCAAAAGCATCCTTTGTGCATGCCCTGAATTCTTGGTTAACTTCAATCATCATGACAATAATGGGGTAGCTAGTACCTTAGCTAAACATGTTCTCAATTGTTCTAGAATTGTCACATGGTATTCCCTCCCCTATTTCTTGAAAATATTATTTCAAGGGAGATGTTATATCAGAATTTTCATTGAATTGAATTGATCTTAGAATCCTAAAAAAACTAAAATGAGGATAATTTTATATGATAACAAATTTAGATAGCGTAAAAGATAAAAGGAACGCGGGTGGAGCTACTTTTTTTTTTTTTTTTAATGTAAGACTCTTGGATCTTCCAAATATATAGCAGAATGTATTGACAAAAATATCAGTAAGATGTAGCCATGGTAATGATATGATATTATAATGAGGTGGCTGCCTTCTGATTTTTGTCGCCTAGGTGGATGTCTTATTGCCTAGGTGGGCAATCAGTTGCTTTATGTCAAGGTGTCCAGCCAAGGTGCTCAACCAAGGGTGCATAGTGTCACCTAGGACTGGTTCATTCTTTCATTATTTATTTTCCTTTTTTTTTTGTAAATTTGAGCCCTTGGGGTTGTTTGGTAATGACTGAACTGAGGTGGCTGACCTAAATAACTTAATTCTTTCCCTTTCAGTGGATAAAGTAATTAAATACTAAAACATTTGATGGATAGTAATCAACCCAACTTAAGCTTTAGCCATTAAGGAGCTTACAACCTCCTTACAAATTCACTAAAAGAGAAAGCAATAATCTGTTCAGTTTAACCATTTTAGCTGCTATCTAATGGCTTATCTAACTGGATGGTCCATTAACAATTGGATAGTTCACAAATTCTCTTAAAATTTGGTAGTTTTAAATAGTTATATCTGGGTTTTATGCTACATCAATTCAATCAGTGTATCCAAGTAGAATTGTGTCTGGTCCTGATCCAACCTGTCCAACTGTCCAGTTTTTAAACATCGACTAAAGGTCGTGGCATCACTCTGTTTCTTCAGGTCCTTGTTTGCACTGCAACATTGGCGTGGGGAGTAAATCTACCTGCTCACACAGTTGTCATCAAGGTTTGTTTGCCTTCTTATTACTAATCATCTTCTGTTTTTTAGTATTCATCTAGCTCTGCCAAAATTTTGATGATCAAGGGCAAAGTGCATTGCTTATTTTTCTATAGCTGAAATAGATTCTTTTGCATCATGGCTCAGTTTGGAAGGAGTAAAAATACAAATATGTACAGTACAAATACATACAAAATAATACAAAATGCAAGGTTTTGCATTCCACATATTTGTATTTGTACTCTTTGCAAATAGAGACTACGTACCTGGCGAAAAATTTACAAGCATCTGTAAATCTGGGAATAAAGACTTGGTGCTAGTTAGTATTATGAAACTTCCAGTGCGGGAAAAAGCACATACTCTTCTGAGGCTGTACATGTGTATGGATTAGTAAAAGAGGAAGAACAACATGAATAGCTTTCTAAGGAGTGGTCAAAGTAGTCCTAGGAGATATACCAGCATCCTAGCTATTTTCTATCAATCCATGTATGTTAGCTACCACTCTGTGCCATAACTTCTCATTCTCTAATGGCATACCCTACAATCATTTGCTTAGCAAAGCTAGATTTTTAAAGACCTTATCCCCAAACCACCCTGTTCCTTGCTCATACATACTATTTCCTACTTAAGATGATTTTTCTTTCCTTCCCTTCGATGCTGCAAAAAATCCTCGTTAGTTTCTAGAAAATGTAAAATGTTTGCAACTTTTTTCGGCACCTTAAAAACTGAGAGGTAATACAAAAGGAGGTTGGCCAACATGGACTTAATCGAATCCGGTGGGTTAAAAGATGTGCTAATTCATTTGCAGATGCTTTGGCCAAACAGGGGGTGGGAAGAAGCCATTTGTTTTGGGCTACTATGTAATCTTTTTGTTGGGGGGGTGGTAAGAGGGTTTACCTCCCCCCACCTTTGTATTTTAATCTTCTTATAATCTAATGAAAGTTTCCTGTTACTGATAAAAAAAAAACATGGACTTAATCGAAGTTATCCTCCCATCCAAGGAAATATAGTTGCACTTCCAAGCTGTTAATGCTATCATTTTTCCAAATCTTTCTGTGATAGGGGTCCATAAACTACAACTCCTTGGTTTGCTTCCTAAAGGAAGGCCTAAGTACTTCATAGGCCAAGCACTAGTTGAACAACGAAGAGCCTGGACAGTTGCATCTAGTTTGCTAACCTCAAAATTTTCCCCTGCTCCACAGCTCTTCTCAAGTTTTATTCTTAAATTTGAAAATTTCTCAAGTAAACTTAATAACAGTCTCAATGTCCTCAAGTTGTTTTAATAAAATCTTGTTACTGATAAAAAAAAGTCTCAACCTCACCTGCTGAAGGATACATCCATCACAGAAAATATTTATATCATCAGCAAATTGGAGATGAGTCACCATAATATTATTCCTCCCAACTCTCCACCCTCTTACCAAATCCTCTCTGTCAGCTCTAGAAATCAATCTACTACGCACATCTGCAATTAGAGTGAAAAGACAAGGGCAAAGTTGGTCTTCTTGTCTATGACCTCTAGATGCCAGGAAGAAATCCCTCAGTACACCATTAACCAACACAAAAATGACAGGTTTGTAGACATCCAGATATCCATACTACAATACTAATATTTCAACATTAGTGAGCTTTAAAACTTTGTTTTCATGGACCTATCCTCTTGCAAGTGAATTCCAAATGCATGAGCTGATCTTGGTACCGAACCGAACAAGGACTGCCAAAGTTCTTCCTCCTTATTCAGTCAAGTTTATTTTTTCCTGTCATTATTTATGAAGGAACAATTCTTCTTTATGATTGAGTTAGTATTGTTGTTTTAAATTTTGTGTTAGGATTTAGGAAATTCTCTTACCCCTTTCTAAATAGATACGAATTTCTGAATTTCTGAATGGGACTCTAGTTTAATGTGTCTCGTCACTAAATGCTCTTCTCATGTGACTGATAAAAAAATTCATTTTTCATTATTATCTTATTTCATTTGATAAGAAAAACATGTTAGAAGAGATCATGTCCAGGTATCTCCTTTTGTCTTTGGCAGTTTGCTTTCAACTTTCAACTGATAATCCCATCATATAGGCTGCAGCCTATTAGTATTCATCTAACATTTTCTCTATTGTATAATTCTTGATCCATATCCATGTGCATCACTCCAGGGTACCCAACTGTATGATCCAAAGGCTGGTGGGTGGAGAGACCTGGGCATGCTTGATATTATGCAGGTGAGGCAAAGATACTGTATCATGAAAAAATTTCCTGTCAAGTTTATAAATATTTATTTCTATATTTGTTTTTGAGTTTCTTGGTTTGTGGTACTTCTGTTTTAGATTTTTGGGCGTGCTGGAAGACCACAATTTGATAAGAGTGGTGAAGGGATTATCATTACCTCTCATGATAAGCTGGCTTACTATTTATGTTTGTTGACAAATCAACTCCCAATAGAAAGTCAGGTAGCAATTTTTTTTTCATGGGATTATCTTGTTACCTTCTTTTTTTTGTGTTTTTAAAGCAGTGGCATGTTGATTCTTTAATTTGTAACGCTAATGATGAAAAAGTTGTGTATTAATAGGTGTTGGGATCTTATTAATGTATAAAAGTACTCTAATATCCTGTTCATAATTAAATGAGGACTAATACAAGTTTACAACCTCATCTATGGCTGGTATTCTCTTCAATTACTTGAATTTACCATTATTACAATTCCACCTGTGGGCCTAGGGCCCTTAAAACCAAGTCTGACCTTAAATTCCTGCTGTCCTGTCCTTGCCAAATTTGTCTCCCTGTTCTTTCTCTATTTTAGAGCTTTAATATTGGATGCAACTTGCAAAAAAGGCTGGAAAAGATCATGGGGAATCTCTTGGGATTTAGGGGAAATCAAGGAAGACATATGATCAGTTGGAATTTTGTCTGTAAAAGATAGGACTCGGTGTAGGCAGACTGGTTATTACTAGGAACTATATTAAAGATAAATAAGTGTGACAAAGAATAATTGTTTTTATTGATGATAGAAATAAAATACAAATTTAAAACCAACACTTGATATCATACTTAAATAATAATAATAATTAAAAAATATGAAATCACACTAAAGTAAAAAAAATACAAAAAAGTTTGTAGAAAACATTTGGACACATCTCTAATATTGTATAATTATCATATTAAACAAAAATAAGTGTGACAAATAAGAATTATTTTTATAGACAGAAATATAAAAAATTGTCACGTGCACACTTACTAATAGTCTTAATATCCCAGTTCTACCCAGGATAAGTGCTTTATATTGGGAAGTATTTTCTCTAAAAATCAGTACTTATAGATTCTTTGGGGAAACTACCTTCCATCTTTCAATCTTCTTCTCTTGTATTTCTAGCATACGGTTTTTTCCCCACTGTATTTGGATACAGGTGGTCTCTCTTGTCATGTATCCTGTTTTGCCTTAATGTTCTTCCAAGTGCCATAGTTATTGTTAAATTATGAACCTATGCCCTTTTAGTCTGCCCTTAGCCCTTCTAGTGAAGGTTCAAAAAATCGCAATGGATCGTCCTATATTGGCTCATACGTATCATTCCAGCACTAAACTGATATGTGGAACTCACTGAAACCAGGAATTTCATTTCTTTTCGTCCGTTTCGGACCAATACAGGCCTGTCTCGGGTCGTTTTGGATCTGTATCGACCAATATGGACCCAATACAGATTGATACTCTGTAATGGCTGATATTATCTGATGTTTAATATTTGTAGTCCCACACACACTCTCTCTCTCTAATAATTTTCAAATTCAAATTTGTCTAGCCCCTATAATTACACCTCCTTTCTCTCAATAACTCCTATATTGAATGCTAACTCTTGCATTTAAGGCAAATTTGAAATTTAAAAACATCATTAAGTATGCCTGTAAATTCAAATTTGGATTTAAAACATGCCCTTAAATTGACTATAAAAACAACAGGTAGAAGCTAAGAAGATTAGAGTCCTAATCACTAAGTTATATAATACCCATAAGCCCATCACTATGCCGTAGCCATAGCCCAAATGCTTGCCATATTTATATGTATTTTGATTCATAAGTAAACCCTTTTGTCTTTAGGGGATGTTTCTCAATAAATGTTAAAATTGATTATTAAAATTTAGGAAAAATCTATGATGCCAGAATGACATGATACCGGAAAGACTTTGACGATTAAAACCCCTAATGAATTTTGATGAAAACCCACCTGATTGGTTAGAAAATTTTTGATGCCAGTTGATTGGTTATAAGTTTTCTTCCCCCTTTAGTATCATGTCTTTCTAGCGCCATAGTTGAAACCTAAATCAATTTTAATACAAATTATATTGATTTTCTAAAAATTAAGGTATATACGTACACGTTTTAGTCCTTCCATTTAAGGTTCAAAGTATTAATACGATATGCCTTGTATTGGGCATACCATATCATATTGGCAGGGCTCTGATACACCTATTTAAAGGTGTTTTCTGGAACCCTTTCGTTTTATTTAATAAATGATATATGTATGTATGTATGTATATATGTTATGATACTTTGATTATTTTTCAATGGTTATCAATTGTGTCCCAATGCCTCACAATTTATATAAACCATTAAAGTAGGTTTTTTTTTTTTTAACTCATTTATTGCCATCTAAGACTTGTGTTTATAGTTATTAATATATAATTTTCTGGATTTATTTGAATTTCCTAGCGTATCCATGTGTATATTGATTTTTCATCCGTATATGTATGTGGGAAGTACAAAGGTGACTAGGGGAGGGGTAAACTCTCTTAACCCTCCCATAGGAAAAACAAAAACAACTCAAATTACAATATAGCCCAAAACAATTGTTCTCTTCCCACCCCTTGTGCTAGCCGGTTAAAAATTCATTTTTCATTAGCAAACTTCCATAGACCATTCTCCTCTATTTGTAGCATCCTATAACTAGTTTTGAATCCCCTTCAACAATGAGCTTGCAGCAGTCCAACTCCTTTGCCTTCTTCATTACTTCTAGCACCGCCAAGATCTCAGCTTGAAGTGAATAACCTACACCAATAGGACTAGAAAATAGAGCAGTGACTTTCACGTCCTCATCTCTGAAAGTTCCTCCAGTTTCAGAAGGCCTTGGATTAGTGTTTTAAAAGGCGTGGGGGGCGTACACCTGGAGGCGCCCCTCTAGGCGAGGCGCCCCCAAAACGCCCTAAGGCGTATGCCAGAGGCATTGACACCTCTGAGGCATATGCCTCAAGTGAATGAGGCGTGTGCCTCATGCGCCTCATGCATACCTCATGTAAAAAGACAGGAAAAAAGGAAAAAAGGAAAGGGAAGGAAAGAATAGATAAGGGGAAAGAAAGTGGGTCGGGGGCTTACTCCTTGTGTTCGGGAGGGTTATGTCTCTTACGTTCTGAACTACACCTCACGCTTCTAGGTAGTGGAATGCCTTGTGTCACACCTCTGCGTTTTAAAACACTGTCTTGGATTACCTTCACTACTTCCATCAAAGTTCAGCTTGATAAAACCAAAGTTCGGAGGAGATATCCTCAAACACTTATAGAGATTAATCTTGGTTTTGGTAGGGGATGAATTAGCCACTTTCTTCCAATTTCTTCTCATCATATTTGTAGAGATACTCAAACACTTGTAGAGATTTCACCTAATGTACCACTCTAATAGTAATTGCTTCAATAATGGCCTCCCTATTCCTCTCCTTTTCATTAAAGATTCTTGAATTTCTTTCCTCCCATATTGTTCAGCATATGGCAGCTCTGACACATCTCCAAAGAATTCTACCCCTTTTCTTTGGCCACCTGAAAGAGGAAGCAAACGACCTTCGCACATCTGGTGGGGGTGTCCACCTGCAACCAAACAAAGAGAAAAACCATTCCCAAATTTATGAAGCAAGAGAGCAAGAGATTAGTAAGTGATAGCAGCTCTCACCATTTTCCTTGCACAGGATGCACCAGTTAGGGGATAGACACCAAGTAGGTCTTTTTCTGGAGCAAGTTACTAGTGTTACATCTCTGCAGAAAGGCTTCTCAACAAAAAGCTCCAATCCTTAGAGGAATCAGTTTGCCCTAAACTTCCAAAACTGGAAAGTCTAGTCCTAGGCTATCAGAGGGTTGTGTTAAGGCATTAAAAAGGGAAGCACAAGAAAACTCACTAGATGATGTCAAAGTCCAAATCTGGCTCTCTCCTTGGGTCTAGAACCACCCCTCCCAAAATCTGAATTAAGGCAAAAAAATAGTTGATTTCAGCATCCCTAAGACCCCTTATAAGACCCAAATCCCAATCAAACCCAAGAATTGATTCTGAGGGTACAAAAAATATAGATGCAAGCTCATTTTTAAGCAAATAAAGGGAATACAGAGAAGGAAATTGTTCTTTCAAGCGCACAACCTCCACCCTATTGTGTTCATAAACTTTCACCCGGTTCCCAAAACATAGATCATACCTGATGAATGACAAGAAAGAAGGAAGAATGGCATGTATAGATTTTCAAGGAGAAGCTCGTGTAGCCCTAGCCAGAACTCCAACATCCCAACCATCAGCCATTTGCCCATGAATACTTACAATCACCTTAGACCATAACTTATTATTTTTTTTTTGATTAGTAAATAGCAATTTAATTTTTAAAGAACAGAAGTTACAGATCAGGGTGATAAGACAACACCCGAAAACAAAAAAAAAACAAAAGAGCCTTCAAACAAACTAGATGACAGGCTCTGCATTACATATTTGATATTCTAGAATGTCTCCAAACCCGCACCCAAAATCCTCCTTTCTATGTCGACTGAATTCAGGAAGAATCACTACCCGTTCTACCACTGTTCTGCCCACAACCGCAACCATCTTCTCCATGCTACAAGCCTTGTCTTCAAAAGTCCTTTTGTTCCTTTCCTTACATATGGCATAAACTTCCCTTTTTTTCCTTTATCTTCCTCATGTTATTTTGGTCCCACACTACCACCATACCCCCTTACAGACCCACCGCATTCACCTCAGTCCATTCTCCTCTTTTTGACCTCCAAATCTCAATTTTCATCCTTAGATAAAAGGGTTCCAGTTTTGTTTCCTGCAACAAGACAACATCCGGATTATGTTTTCTCAGAAGATTCTTGACCACCTCTCTCCTCTTCCCATCTCTCAAACCCTTTACATTCCAGGATAGCAACTTCATTCCCACTGCTCCCCTCTCCCCCTCTATCTGCCATTTTATTCCTTTTCCGTCAGCCCTTTGTGTCTCCCTCCCCCCTCTTCCCCTCCCTCTTCGGCACTTCCTCAATTAGCTCTTTCTTCTTGTTTCTCCCTTCTAGATATCTCGTACTGATCAATGGCTTTTCTCACCGCTTCTTCTCCCCCTAGAAAAAACAGGCCCAAATTGCCAGCCTCTACAACCATTTTCCCAAGTAAGGCCTCATTCCTCCTTTGAATACTTCCCATACCCAATCCACCCACTTCCTCACTTTTAGTGACCACTTCCCATCCAACTCTATGGTCTCTTTTTTCTTCCCCTGGTTCCCATAAGAAATATCTCATCAAATTTTCCAAAATTTTGCTCACTCCTTTTGGGATCCTAAAGACAGATAAGAAATAAACTGGCAAGTTGGTCAAGATAGACTTAATCAATGTAATCGTACCACCCAAAGACAAGTAATTCCTCTTCTATGAAGCTAGCCTCTTAGTAAACCTATCCATCTTTGGGTTCTAAAAACTGTTATTTCTTGGATTATCTCCTCTCACTAGCCTTCAAGTAAACCTTTCTACCCTCTTTGCCATCTCTATCTCCTCCATATTGATCCCCATCACACAACTTTTATCAAATTTCACTCTTAAATTTAACATTTTTCTTTTAAAGTTGCACCACCAGTTTCAAAATCCTGACCCAACTCACTAGGTTTCTAGAATCGACCCTAGTTATTAGTCTACCCAAAACTTCAGCAATTAATGTGAACAAAAAAGGGGAAAGGGGGCCCCCTTGTCTAAGTCCCCTAACTACAGGGAAATGGTTACTAGTGCTCCATTCACCATAATAGAGTAGTGGCAAGTCTCTATGTTTCCTCGTATCCTTTTGCACCATTTTACTGCAAAACAAAAGCTCTCCAAGACCTGTAGTAAGATGGACCATTCGACCAAGTCATAGGCCTTTTCCAGATCCAGCTTACACACTACTCCTTTTCTCCCATTTCTTCTCTTGTCCTCCACACTCTCATTGGCAATTAAAATCTGATCCATTATTTGCCTATTACTTACAAAAGCACCTTGATTGTGGGAAATGATGTGAGGAAGTATAACCCTATTTCTCCTAGAGAGCACCTGAGCAATAGTTTAATACAAGCTGTTTACCAAGCTGATGAGCTGAACTTGTTTGGGTGAATAACACTTTGGAACCCAAGTTCTAAAAGTAGAGTTCAACCTTGGATTTATCACACCTCTCTCAAAAAGTTCATTGAAGATCTTCTGAATGTCTTGTTTTAAAAATGTCCCAGTAGTCTTGGTAAAAAGCCATTGTAAAGCCATCTGGTCCTGGTGCTTTAGTTTCATCCACAGAGAAAACCACATTGTAAATCCATCTGGTCCTGGTGCTTTAGTTCTATCCATAGAGAAAACTGCTTCCTTTATTAACTCCATGTCAAAGCTCCTTTCAAGCCTACCTTAAGATCCTCAGGTATATTTGAAGTGATCCACAAAAGCCCCTGCTATTTCAGATTGTTCGGTAAGTGTTACATCATCAACCACCAACTTAGAGATGGAATTTTTCTTCCTCCTACCATTTGCCATAGCATGAAAGAATTTGGTATTTCTATCCCCTTCATCCATTTATGTTTGGATTTTTGCCTCCAATTAACTTCTTCCTTGTTTAACAAATCTTCTAGTTGCTTCCTTAATATCTATCTTTCCTCAAAAGTCCCTTCACTCTCCTTGGTGTCCAACTCAATTTTATCAATCACTTCTGTTTTCTCTCTACAAGCCTTCCGAAACATTTTGTAAAATATTTTATATGTATTATTTATATGACCTACAAAATATTTATATGCATATGCCACATCATCACGCTTTGGCTCTGGTTTGACAATGGTTGACCCTCTGACCTGTGAACCTTGTCCGGTTCTATGCCCGGTCCAGTTCTCTAAATATTGTTTGGAACTACTCTTATGCTCCTTTGAATGACTTCATTTCTGACACTTTCTTAAGAAAAGATGAAAGGTTTTGTGGAGATGCACAAAAGGCAGCAGTTTTGTTGATGGTTCGGGAAGAAAGGAATGCTAGAATATTCAGGGAAGTAATCCGCCCCAAGAAAGCAGTATTGGGAACATCTTGGTAATGGTGGAATATTAGAAAAAATCCTCAAGTCTCTTTAGTCCTTTCTCTACAATGACATCCTTAGGAGATAGCACGTTGTTGCATTGCCTTAATCTATCAAGTAAAGATATCATCAATTAGTCTCCTGTTATGGACTTCAGAAAATTAAAACCTCTGACCATTGTAGCTTGGCAACTTGGGCAATTCAAGTGTTGGTGGTGTGCCTTGTGCTTAGAGGCAATCATGGTAACATAATGGACATGTTCTCAGGATCTATTGACCATTAAAACTCAATTAGAGTTGAATTTTAGCAAATTTTCTAAGGTTGAGATTGGGGAAATCCCTAAATTATAGAGATATTATGGTAGAAGAGGATTCAAGGGAAATATTTAATCTATCATTCTATCTATACTACTATTAGAGTGGGAACAAAAACTTAGATTTCTGGACTTTTCTTGACTAAAATACCCCTCATTTTGCATTTGGTCCCACTTTATTGTGAAGATAGAAAACATAATCTGAGTACTACTTTTCAATTTATTCTATTCCCTCTCATCATTAAGTCCCATATTTAAGGAATTAACTCCTATTCTCCCTATTTGAATAATATATTTAAGGTATTTTTGTTTCTCATTGTTAAATTCGACTAATTTTGGTTTGTGTCCTTGTTTTTCTTTCACATACTTGGATACTTAATGATATCTCCATTGGTTTATGTGCCTATGCTTTTAAGCCAAAGTGAATTGATTATCTGTTATTATTTCTTATTATTCTTTCTGCTCTTTTTTTTTGTTTTCTGAATACTCTTTTATTGAGTTTTATGTTTTTGCAGTTCATTAACTCATTGAAAGATAATTTGAATGCGGAGGTGGCTTTGGGTACTGTAACAAATGTTAAGGAAGCTTGTGCTTGGCTTGGCTATACTTACCTCTTTATAAGGATGAAGTCAAATCCTTTGGCATATGGAGTAGGATGGGATGAGGTATTGTGTGATGGTGGTTTAATCTGTTATTCTAATTTAACAAACTTCTCTTTATCGCTTTAACTTGTAATGTATAAATATTTTTTAATAATATTATTTTTTTGATGAATAACATGTAACTTCATTAAAATTTAGAAAAAATTACATACAAGCAGTGAGAGGTAAGCTATCTTAACTCCCTCACAAACAAACAAAAAAACAAGATTATAAATGAGCCCGAAACAAAGAATCTCATTCACCCCTTGCTTTGCTAGCCCATCAGCAAATGAGTTAGCAGATCTCTTCACCCAGTTGCATCTTATCTCAATATCCTTAGCCAGCCATTTGAATTTTTTCCTTTCATTGCTGTACTTCCACATTGCAGTCTTGCCTTTTTTTAATAATAATAATCAAAAGAGGATTTTATCGGTTTGAAGAAAAAAGAGGATAACAATACAAAGGGTGACGAGGTAGTAATCCGGTCCAGACAAAATGCAAGATACAAAGACATACCCCACTAACAGTAATTGATAACTAATTACATATTCAATCCAATTCAAGAGTAAACCAGAAATTAGAGCTAAAGTTCCTGATGCATCAAAAAAATTATGGCAGAATCAATATCCAATCCACGACCAAGTTACCAATGTCTACAGAGATCCTTTCAGCATTTCTTTTCTTCCCCTTGAATTCTGCCTTCCTGCTTCCTTGTAGATGCGGCCAATTAGATCAGAAGAAGTTTCATTTGGGTGATTCCAAATAAAGAGGAAAAGCCATACTGGGTGATCATTTCTATCCATGTCTGGAAGCCTGGCCTGCAAATGACTCAAAGGCATGGTTTCGGGCATGAGGCATGCTATAGATGTTAAACTATTTGCTCATTGATCATTTTTATTTGTCCCAACTCCCAAACCAAAAGTGGGGGCTTGGACAGCCATCATTACTTTGCCTTTCCTAGTGGGTTTCTGCAGTGGTTGTTCATATAAGAATTTTGCGAGTTCTCATCTTGGTTTGCCTGTTGATGTACTGCTGAAGTCACTCCAACTCCTTTTCTAGCTTTTTCTTCATTATTGATATCTATTTTTTTTTTTTTTGATGAATGAGTAAGATTTTATTAAACTAGCAAATAAGAGTTACAGGCAACCCATGGAAAGGCACGAGGTGCGACCTTTGCTTTAAAACTAGTTACAGAATTATAAGTTCATAAGAAAGTACACAGAAGCCCAAAATAAAGTAGCCCGAGAAACCCCCTGTTTTGCAAGTGAATCAGCCATTGAGTTTGCTGATCTGCCTACTCACTGAACTCTGATTGTCATACTCCTTATTAGCCATTTAACCTTGTTGAGAAGATCTCTATCACCCCAGATCACAGAGTCCGGATCTTGCAACCAACCCATATCACCTGGGAGTCCCCTTCAATAATCAGATGCTCTATTCCTAGCTGGTTTGCAAGCTGGATTCCTTGCACAACAGCAAGGACCTGAATACAAAGATACAATACTACTGTCTTTGTTTCTCAGCACTCCTCCTATACCTGAAGGTCCAGGGTTACCTCGGCTACTCCCATCAATGTTTCAGCTTAATAAACTCCTCCCCAGGTGGCATCCATTCAACCACATATCTGTCCTTCCTAGTAGAAGTGTTAGCCACTGCTAACCAGTTTCTCCATAGGTCATCAAAAGAGTATGCATCAAAGAGATTTAGAGTTTTTAGCCACTGAATTGCCCTTGTCAAAATACATTCTTTAACATCTGAGAAACTCCTTTCTTTTTCACAAAAAATTCTGGTGTTCTTTTCTTCCCAAACAGTCCACAACAAAGCTGCTCTTATGCACTTCCACATATTTCTCCCTCTCTTTGTATGGCGTACAAAGGTAGACGGACTAAACAGCAAGCTATTATCAGATGGCAAGTTTCACCTACACTCAAACAACACAAAAATCCAATTCCATAAAGCTGCAACAAAGGAGCAAGAGATCAGTAAGTGATAACAGTTCTCATTGCGAGTTTTACAAAGCACACCAATTAGGGGATAAGTACCATTTTGGTCTCCTCTTTTGCAGGTTTTCCAAGGTATTAATCTTACCATAAAAAACTTCCTAACAAAAAAAAAGAAATCTTTGGGGGAATGGGTCTAACCCAAAATTCTTTAACTAGGAAGTTCTGGGGTGCAGAAGTGGAGCAGAGAGACTTGAAGAAAGAAGAGCAAGTGAAAAAGCCTTTCGGGTTAGGGGTCCAAATTCTTGTGTCAGGTTTGAGGGGATCTAAGCAAATAGACTCAAGTGAAGACAACAGTTTTGAAACACTAGCACTTTCATCATCACGTAACCCTCTTCGGAACCCATAATCCTAGATTAAGGCCAAAGAAAAAGCTTGGGAGGAAATAAAACTGGAAATTGACTCTTTCTTATAAAGGGAAAGAGAGTAAAGAGAAGGAAAAAAGGTCTTTAAGATGTTGGTTGCCTACCCAAATGTCTTCCCGAAAAAGAACATTGTTTCCAGAATTAACATCATACCTGACCAGATTGAGAAAATGGGGAAGGATTCTGTGTATAGCCTTCTAGGGTGTTGCAAGAGTCGCCTGTCGAGATACCCCAACATCCCAACTGTTCTGCGAACAACCATGAATACTATTCACTACCTTGTGCCACAACCTCTCTCTCTCCAACGGCCATCTCCAATGCCACTTCCCTAGTAGAGCTTCATTCTTAAGAACTAGGTTACCTAATCCTAATCCCCCTTCTTCCTTACTTTTGTTGACTAATAAGTTGATCCTTCTTCTCTTCCCCTGGCAAAAGTCGTTCTAATCAAGGTCACTCTACCCCCTATCGAAATGTAACTTTTCTTCCAAGAAGCCAACCTCTTTTCGAACTTTTCCACATTTGGGTACCGAAACCGACTTTCTTTTGGGTTATCTCCTAACAGAAGACCCAAGTAGGTTAAATGCCTATCAGACATAGAACACTCTAGACAACCTGCTACTGCTTCTGTCTTCCAACCTTCCAAATTGATTCCAACCAACAACTTTTGTCAAAGTTAACTGTCAGGTTTGAAGCATACTCAAAGGATTTAATAAGATCTATTAGGTTTCTCACTCTTCCCAAGTCTCCCCCTTCACAAAAAACGATAATATCTTCAGCAAACTGAAGATGAGTTACTGGGACATTATTCCTACCTATCCTCCACCCACTTATCAGCCCTTCCTTGTCTGCTTTAGAAATCATTCTACTGAACACATCTACCACAAGTGTGAACAAGAAAGGTGAAAGAGGATCTCCTTGCCTGAGCCCTCTACATGTTGGGAAAAAAAATCCTTAGACCCCTCTAGTAACTAGAACTGAAAAATGACAAGAGGTTATGCATCCACTCACCCCCTTGCACCATCTATCCCCAAATCCCCACATTTTCTTAACACTTCTAATAGAAAATTCCAATCCACCGAGTCGTAGGCCTTCTCAATGTCCAACACAAATGAAACCTTGATTGCTTGATCCTCTTTATTTCCTCCACACATTCATTTGCTATAAGGATTTGGTCTACAATCTGCCTATCTTGTACAAAGGCTCCTTGGGCTTGAGTAATGAGAGAGGGAAGGACCTTTTTAATCCTTAAAGAAAGCACTTTTTCAACAATCTTATAGACGCTAGTCACCAATAGGGGTGGCAACGAGCTGAGCTTTTCACGAGCTATTCGAGCTTGGCTCGGTTTAAACCAAGCTTCGAGCCGAGCTCGAGCCCAATTTACAGGCTCGTTTGCTAATCGAGTCGAGCTTGAGCCTAATAAAGCTCGGCTCGTGAGGCTTGCGAGCCTATTGAGCTTTTACATACATATATAATATTTTTATTTTTATATATAATAATAACTAATTATTATAATTATTAATTTTTAAATATCAAATAAAAAAAATATATATAATTTTTTGACTTTATAAAGCATTTGACTCATAGTTGAGCTCGAGTCGAGCCAAGCTCAAGCTTATGAGTTTTTGACTTGAGCCGAACTCGAGCTCAAGTCTTTAGCTCGAATTGAGCTCGAGCTCAAGCCTCATACTATCTTGGTGAGCCAAGCTCAAATTTCTAACTATTGTGCTCAGCTCGGCTTGGCTCGAATCCTCCCCTAGTCACCAAACTAATCGGCCTAAAATCTTTAGGGTGTTTGGCATCTAATCTCTTCGGGATGAGAGCTAAGAATGTGGCATTAACTCCACGACTAATCACATGGTTGTTTCCAAACTCCCTAAAAACCTCAAACAAATCTTCTTTGATAGTGTCCCAACACTCCTGATAGAAAGCCATAGTAAAACCATCTGGTCCAGCCATCCAGGAGCCTTTGACCTATCCATAGAGAAAACAACTTGTCTTATCTCCTCCTCTTCAAAGTTCCTTTCCAGCCAACCCACCTCAATGGCTGATAGACTTGGCCAATCCAGATCTTCCACTCTCACCCATCTCTTTAGGGCCTACTCAAAATGGATTTGAAGTGAGTTGAAAAGCAATTGTCTATATCCTCCTGGGACTCGATTTCCACTCCTTCAACCTCAAGCTTGGCCACACAATTTTTTCTCCTTCTCCCATTGGCCATAGCATGAAAGAACTTGGTATTCCCATTCCCTTCTTTGATCCATTTATGCCTAGATTTTTGCCTCCAAGATATCTCCTCCTTGACTAGGACCTCTTCCAATTCTCTTTCTTGTGCAGTCATGGTCCCTTGATGCTCCTTTGAATCTAAATCCTCAATTTGGGCTGGCAATCTAGCTTTTAGCTCTTCCAATCTACCAAATTCCTCCCTATTCCAATCTTTTATTTTGGATCTAAGACTTTTTAATTTCTTGTGGAATCTAACCCCTTTCCACTTCACTCCCCTAATCTCTTCTCTCCACCACTCCTCAACTTTATGCACAAAATCTGGGTGTTTCAACCACATGTTCTCGAACCTAAAGGGTTTAGGTCCAAGCCCAAAAGTCTCTTGGCCTAGCTCTATAGGACAGTGATCTGAGGTAACTCTAGGCAGAGCTTTAGCCAC